TGTGATGACAATCCTGAATCATCATAAAAGGGCGTGTGTTGTTTGCTCTATTTAATTAGGTTGGGAAGGGCAGAATCAATGTTATATTTTAGAAAAATTTTGGTAAGAAAAAAACTTGCTGAGACAATGGGTGGGCACTAATTAGTTGTAAGGTTCAACTCCGGGGACATCCCTTTAAAGTGTTGTAACTGAGGAGTTGCTATTACAGTTGCAGTGTTACAAGTAAAATTTTGGTTCACTTTAGAATATAAATGACAAAAATAGGAATAATCCTACATATGAATGCAGTCAGCTGTTTTGAGCATTGATATATGCCAAGCACTATGTTAAACACTTTACATATGTTATCTCATTGAAGTCCGACAATACCTATGATATATGTATTGTTATTTTCATTTAGATGAGAAAACTGAGGCTTAGGGAAGTTTAGAAAATTGTCCAAGGTCTCATCATCAGAATCAACATGTTACACAACCCCAGAAGGTGTCATTCACATCCTAGACTATGAGAATGCCTGCTGGTGTTATATGCAGCCACACATAACTGTCCTGCCACCTAAGTGCTGGTAAAGCCAAGATTCAAATCCAGGGTGTCTAATTGCTAACTCCATGCTACACAGAGAATAGTTTTGTTTTTTTTTCTCAAACCAAAGGAATGTACATTTATTTCTAATTTAAAAAAAGTTAATTTGATATTTGAGATATATTAAAATTTGCATAGTATTATAACAGACACCTATGGCTTAGATTTAACATTATTTTGTCATATTTGTTTCAGATATTTTCTTCTGAAAAAAAGTGAGCTATAACTACTCCTCTTCTGCCCTCCAGAGTTTACTATTCTGAGATGGTATCTCTTACATCTATGTTATGTTTTATTAGTATACATATGCTCATAAATAATATATAAAATTGTTTATAAAGCTTTCATAATTGGCATCGTACTGTACCTAAACTTCAGTGACTTTGTTCATTAATTATTCAATGTTATGATTTGAGATTTATCCATGATGATACATGTAGATCCAGCTCTTCATAAGAATTTGGTTGTTTCCACCATTTCTTGCTTCTACAAACAAGGATGCAGCCTCACATGTTCCAGTGTACGTGCATAAAATTTCTAAAGTGTATACTTAGAAGTGAAATGTTGAGTCGCTGACACTCCTCCTCATCATCCTTACCAGATGCTGCCAACTTGCCCTTCAAAGTGGTTATACCAATTGACATTCCTATTACCAGATGCTGCCAACTTGCCCTCCAAAATGTTTATACCAATTTACATTCTTATCAATAGTGTATGAGAGCTCCCGTTTCTTTAGCAGCTTCTCCAAATTTATTAACCTTCGACTTTAAAAAAAATTTACCAGTCTGATGTGAAATAGTTTTAACTTGCATTTCCCTGATTACTAATGATGCAGAGCATCTTCTGATGCTTGTTGCCCATTAAGGTCTTCTTTTCAATGTTAATCGCTTGATCGTATTCATGCCCATTTATCTACTGGCTGTTTATCTTTTTCTTTTTGGTAAAGAAATTGTGAGAGTTCTTTATAAATTCTGGGCCAATACTCTGTTGGGTAGATATGTTTCAACTACTTTCTATCAGTCTATGCTTACCTTTTAATTTTTGTGTTTTATATTGCTTTATATTTTAAAGTACTAAAAGTTATCATATTTGTCATTATTTTTTAAATATTGTTTAGAAAAATTCTTCCCTATACCCATAAAGGTATACTCCTAGAATAATATAATATTAATTATACTTACATAGTGCTTATTACATGCCAGGCCAGGTTTTAAGTACTTTATATTCATTAATTCTTTAATCTTCATTATAATAACACCTACTTCATGGGATTGTTATCTCTACATTATAGGTAAGGAAACTGAGGCATAAAGGATCTTTTCCTAAAAGTTTTAAAATTTTACATTTGAGTATTTAACTAAAATCTGGAATTTATTTTTGTGTATGGCATTTGCTAGAAATTTAATTTTGGCTTTTATCATATAATTAACAAATTGTCTCATATTATTAATCAAAGAGGCCATCCTTTCACCACTGATCTTTAGTGTCTTTTTTGTCTTATACCAAAATCTGACTTATAGATGAGTCTGTTTCCAGGTATTCTAGTCTGTTCTATTGACCATATTGATTTAATTATTATGGTTTGGATTGTGGTATAGTGACTCTTCTGTCCAAATTCTGTCTCTTCAAAATTGTCTTGACTGGTTTTGGCTCTATGAATTTTAGGGCTACCTTGTCAAATTCTACAAAATATTTCTGGAAGTTTGTCATGAATCCTTTTAAAAGTATGCGAATATTTCTGCGGAGTGCCCCCGAAATCAGTGTTAATAAGATGAATTTGTTCTGTATGAAACAGAGAATAACACAATATCAGAAACTAAAAAAGAAATCTACCACCTCAATATCCATTAATAGAGGACCAGTCAAATAAACCATGGTATATCCATATAATGGAATAACATAATGCCAGTAAAAAATGAAAAAGTGTCTAAGTTACTAATATAAAACAGTGCTCCAAGATGGTATTAAGTGAAAAATCAAAGTATAGAACCAATTGTATATGTTAATTTAGGAGTAAAAGGGAATATAGTAAGCATATATACATATTTCTAGAGTTGTCCCTCAGTAACTGTTGGGGACTGGTTCCAGGACTGCCCCAGCCTGCCCCAGAATACAAAATTTGTGGATGCTTAAGTCCCTTATATAAAATGCCATAGTTTTTGCATATAACCTAATCATATCCTCCCATATAATCACCTCTAGATTACTTATAATACCTGATACAATGTAAATGCCATGTAAATAGTTGTAAATACAATGTAAATGGCTGCCCAAAGAATGGCAAATGCAAGTTTTGCTTTGTGGAACTTTCCAGAATTTTTTTTCCCCCAAATATTTTTGATGTGCAGTTGGTTGAATCCATGGATATGGAAGCCACGGATATGGAAGGTTATATATTATAAATACATACACACACAAACACACACACACAATAAATAAATACATATATACATATATACACATATATAATATATATAAAAATATACATATTTGTAAAGAAACTCTGGAAGGATATACAAGAAATTAATAACAGAGGTTCCCTGTGTGTGTTCACAGGGGTGGGGAAGGAATTGTATGAATAGGGCCAGGGGTAGAAGAAATCCTTTCACTGCCTATCTTTTTATATTTTTTGATTTACAAAACACATGAATGTTACTTATTTTAAAAAATTAAGTAAATATTCTGTTTCCTCCTTGAATTGTTTTTTATTTCTTCACTAACATCTCTTTAGTATTAAAAAAAAAAAGACAAATTGTGTATCTTTATCATATGTTTCTTTGTTGGAAGAGGTCAATGAAGCAACTGGAAATGCAATACAAACATATCCTAAGTCATCTCTGTAGGCCAAACATTTTAGG